GAGAACCTGGCCAATTTTCACAAGAGATGCTTTTCCTAATGGGGTAAAGACACCGAGCGCACACACACACACACACACACACACACACACACACAAACACACACACAAACACAAAGAGACATATGTGCTTAAAATAAGGCCTGCTCAAATCAGGCCTGCTTAGTTGTGCATGTGTGGCATGTTTACATGTGTGTCTTACATGTGCATTTGCCTTAGCAAAAGGCTTATAATTGAATGCCTTGTAAGCTGATTATGCCGTGTAGGCACCCCCTCAGTTTCAGTAAGTCTCCCACATGGTGGTCTCACAAGACACCAATGCCCTATATTCATTTGTCTCCTCCTTTCTTCTCTACAGGGAACACATAACCTCTATGGACACTATCCCTTTTTCCTCTGTCTGGAAGATAATAATGGGAAGTCATTTGGGGTCTTTCTCCTGAACAGCAATGCTATGGGTAAAGTTACGCTAACACAAATGCAAGAACACTTGTTGGTACTTGGATAAAAGCAAATACACATGGGTTTGAGCATGCAAACAAATGCACGCATACACATAAAAAAACATTTGAGCAGCACTGTGTTTAAAAACTACAGAATGTATGTGCACAAGCACTCTCATACATACTGCCAAAAAAGTACAAACATACCGTATGTTTACACTGATACATGTAACATCGGGACAAGAAAATCATCTCTAAATGGTTCAAGGGCATATGAACCACCAGTTAATCCTCATCCCCCAACACAAAAGGAGCTACTGTTGCATCAATCAAAGAATTGTGCTGACAAATCAAAGAGAATATTTCATGACTGTTTTATTCTGAGAAGGAGATGACTGAAAGCATTAGTGATTCCCACTGACATGTTTCTGTCGCTTATGCTTACAGTTGCTTCATGTAAGTTTTTTTTTTAATATATTGATTTCCATAGGAATTGACTGATACGTCTTCCTTATACAATTGTGTTTAGGTCTAAAGTAATAATTCTCTGAAGAATTAAAACAACAAAAAAGTTGTTTTATCAAAACAGAGGACCGGTCGTACACAATGGTTTACAATCAATTTGGGGTTGTAATTTATTTTTAAACATAATACTGATACGTTTTGTCTCTGTGTTTTCACCAGATGTGACACTGCAGCCCGCCCCAGCTGTGACCTACAGGACAATTGGAGGGGTGCTTGACTTCTACATTTTCTTTGGTGACACACCAGAACAAGTGGTGCATGAATTCCTCAAGGTGACTTTCTAAATTCAGAAATATGTCTGGCAGGTTTTCTGGTTAATACTGTTGGGTGAGGTGGGTTTTGTGTTGCCTTGACGTGGTAATTGCATTAAAAGTATTTCCAATCGTGCTATTCAGCTCATTGGCAAGCCTGTCATTCCTGCCTACTGGTCACTGGGATTCCAGCTTTCTCGGTGGAACTATGGCAACCTCAGTATAGTCAAGGAAACAGTGGAGAGGAACCGTGCTGTGGATCTTCCATATGTAAGATTCTGTCTGCTTGGTTTTTATTCCTTATTTGTCTTTCATAACATGCATATTTTAGAAAAAACATTTTCTTCAGACTATCTAAAATTGCTGTCAGAGCTACTGCCGCCCCCATAAACATCTGTGATTTTGTCCTTATAATATTTTGATAAAATGTTGACTTTGCTTACATATTTTACCTCCATTATATCACAATATCATGCATTGTATGTAATAAATGTAGGGTCCATTTACATACCACTGTTACTGACCATGTGGTCATGATGAACATTCTAGAAATGGAAAACATGTGACTTGGTGTCACTAACATCACCTGGCCTTTTACTTCTTCCTAGTTCTTTGTTTCTTCTTAGAAAACATGCATTTTAAAACTCAAGAGTGTGAAATGTAGTGGCAATGCGTGGTTTTTATAGAGAGGGATTCCTTTGACTACTACCACAATTGTAAAGCTTTCAGAGGTCGGGGAATGTGGGGAATCAATACTTCACCTTGTGCACCCCTTGTTAAATTTGAAGCACTCATGCACCACTGTGTGGTTCCGGAGGCAAGAGCCTTAACCACTACACTATCTGTGGAGACGTGATACGAAGGTGGAAACAGGAATTCGGCAGACAGACAGAATGATAGGGATGGCCTTTAGCTTACACAGGGTAATCCAGCTTTCTGTCAAATAATGGCGAGTCTGCTGGGCTATATAGGTTCAATCCGGGGATCACTATTTTTCATACGTCACTGAATGTTAGTGGCGATCAAAGATCAATCGATCAACTTCCTTTCATTATCTCATTCACGCTGAACTGAATGCTAAAACGACTCCAGTGCCTATTCCTTTCTGAGACATTTGGTAAATATCAATTCTAGTTGACATTTTCTTTGGAATGAGCCCTACTGCTTATCTTTGTCGAGCCATGAGAGGTAACTGCTAAGAGTCTTTTCGATACCGAGTCTTTTGCAATGCTGTACATTTTTGTCTTTAATTACTAAGGTAGACTCCTATCCATGTTCTTTATGTGTCCCAATAAAACATTTTAACTCTATCACAACTCAGCAGTGATGGCAACAGTCGAGGATGTCATTTGAACTCTGTTTTATCTGACGTTCAAATGCAAACAAATTTCCAACCCATCTCAATATTTCACTCTTATAATCTCCAATCTCTTTTTTCATATCCAAAGACATTAGGATGCAGCTGCTTTCTCTCTGGCTGTACTCAGGGACATGTTTGATAACCATTAGATAGACCACAGAGGGTATTATCACATTCTCCCTAATATGTCTGGAGCTGATTACCATTAGAGGAAGGATCTGGCAGAGCCTTCCAAACCATCTGCTCCATCGATATGAAGTAGATTTTGGCAGGCAACAGACAGAGAGCAAGCATAAAGTCACACCCTGGCAAAAAAGGAAGACTGTGTTAACATTGCTATTGTCGTCCCAAGGTTTAGCAGCACATTACCAAAGTTGTTTGCACTCACATTAGGTCTCCAAAAGTCCATCGGAGGTCTTTCTGTTAGTAAGACTCTATGCAAATGTTCAATATTTCTTTTGCTAGCTATGTTAAGATGAAAATATACAGTGTGAAAGACACATTTAAGTAATGCTGAAAATGATGATTCTTTTTAGCAGATGTGCCAAAATTAAGCACAAAAAGAAATGAGTGGGTACATTTAGGAGGCATTATGAGAAATTGGAATCTATTACGCTGCAATCCAAGATGCAAATTTAATTTTAATAAATAGAAGCCATGCCAAAAGTTTTGTATTTCAAAAGAAGCTTTGAATATCTAATGCCCATTTCTAAAACTCATTTGAAATTAACTCACAAGGGTTAATGCATATAGAAAACTTGATAAATTAACTTCATATGCTATTAGATTTAAAGCTTTTTTTGAAACACAAAGATTTTGGCTATGCTAGCCTATATAATTTCTGAAGTAAAAAATGCATGCACATCAAATACCAATGCAGCATTTTTCTTAACCCTATGCAGGACATTCAATATACTGACATAGACTACATGGAAGATAAAAAGGATTTCACCTATGACAAGGTGAAGTTTGCAGAACTTCCACAGTTTGCTGAATACCTCCATGAGAAGGGGCAGAAATATATCCTCATCCTGGTAAGAAATACTTTGCTGTTCACAAAATATTTTGTGTAATGGACATGTTAACAAATATTGCTACATGAACTTATTCTTGTATTACAAGCAATTTTGTGATGTGAGTTCTGTATATAATGTGTGATGATACAATAATACAGTACACAATCTTTGTAACATCAGATACAACAAATAACAATTCAAACTCATGCCAATGGTGCTGTGTAATTTTTATGTATTTACTGATTTGTTTTCAACTTATATTATTATGACAGGATCCAGCAATAGCCACCAGTAAGAGGGTTGGGGATGCTCCGTACGAGTCCTATGACCGTGGAACTGCGAAAAATGCTTGGGTCACTGAATCAGATGGAGTGACTCCTCTAATAGGAGAGGTGAGCCACATTTGTGCACAAACCTAATTTAAATAATTACATGCACACAACAAACAAGAGGAAACTCACTTAAAAAGAAAATTACTTAATTAACTTTGAAACTTCAACTGTGCTTTCAATCAAAATTAAACACAGGAACGAATGGGAACTATTTTCAAACAGTTTAGAGCCCGCTACTTTTAAGGCTTATGAAATTAGAGGTTATGTATTAGCATATTCTTTCAGTTATCAAATTTGGCGTTTTAAGCTAAAGCCTTTCAAACCTTTCAGCTGCTTAACCCAAAACATAAAAAAGCACAACAGATTTTGATTAAATCAGACAGTCAAACAGTTTGGCTGGCATCCAAATGACTCATCATAGTCTGTTATTTATTTAACCTTGGGGGACTCATAAAGGGTTAACTAATAATAAAGTTAACAAAACTATGTGAACTATAACTATATAAACTTTTATTTTACTATATAAACTTTTATGAACAATTTAAAACAGTTGTAAAAATTAAAGGACTTTATGCAGCCATGTGAAAAACTAAATATAAGCACCGGTAGATATACCAGTAGGGTTGTGTGTGGTATGGTTCCCACTATATAGATTCAGTCTGGTTTAATTCCTGAAAGGCACGCAATGATGCAAAATAATCGATACCTCCCCTAGAGGTTATGAATCTTTTTTGAAAATGTAAGCAGTACAAATATCTTTACTTCATCTATAGTTTGTAGCTCTGTTGACTAGTAGCTCCTTCCTGCTACTTATCCTCTTAATTTCTATTGAAGCAATAATAGCACACATAGCTCTTTACAGGTCTGCATATATTACTGACACAATCTGATATTTGATGCAAGGTCACAGCTTTGTTCTCGTGGAAAATAATTTTCCATAGAACAATCATAGAACATAAATATATTCATTGAGAGATCCTTTTCCCCCGCTGAGAACATTTTTTAAAAACGGGAGTGGAAGTGCGGAGTAAAATGTCTTGCTCAATACTTTCTTTAGTGTTGCTTTTGATTATGCACATAGCGAGACCCTGCCCCACTGTTAATAGTTTTTTCATCCTGTTTATAATAGGTCAAACATATGCATTGATTCTGCATTAGTGCTTAATCTTAAAAAGTTCTGCATCACCACATCACACATTAGCCATGGGTCTGTGCGTGTGTGTGTGTGTAGGCCTGTGTGTGAATGTGTAATGGCGAGAAAGACAGAGAAAGGTAGAAAGAAAAGACCCATAGTCGCTGCGTTCATTTATGTGCATCCAGCTGTGTGGGTTAAAAAAAACTTTTTTGTAATTTGTGGTTTGTGTCTGCACACAAGTGTGGCCATACTTGTGCAGTTTATTTACATATGCAGTTCTATGTATTCTCATTGTGAACATTCAAGTGTCTCTGCCAACAACCTCTGCTGTTGCTGCCTCTGTAATCAGGTAGGCACTGAAACAGACCTGGTATATATTCTGCTTTTAAAATAGATAATAATTGCTGAGAAATATGTAGATAAAAGCTTTTCCTGGTGGCACCCATGTTGGAGTGCCTGTGTAAAATCATAGCAGGACCTCATTCAAACAATTGGACATTTCTGTTCATACCACAAAAGTAAAGATAGATGAGAGTTAAAATAAAGGGCAGTGGGGAGAGCTAAAAGAAACCTATGTGGATTTAAAGGAAGGTTTAACTGTTGACAGAAACATGCACAGAGAAAGGGGTATGTGCAGACAGACAGAGAAACACAAATAATGGATTAGATGAAAATGTAAAGGGAAACAGACTGGCTGTCTTACTGTGGCATGGTGACAGAGACATGCACAGGAAGCAAAGAGACAGAAGAGACAAAATAGATAGGTTATCAGATACAGACAAAAAAGGAGGGGGTAGATGATATGCGAGGTAGAAAGAGACTTTGGAAAGAAGGTAGGCAGAGGGACTGAAAGGGGTAGAAGAGAAGAGAGACAGGTGGATAACAACTTTGAGAGACAGACTGACAGACAAAAGACCATAAAAACTGTGAAAGAAACAGTGAGATATGCAGCTACAAATGACAGCACTTTACTTATCCTGTTGTCAGTATTAGTACGCAGCTGGAGATGACAAAATCTGGTCTTGAAGGAAGGAAGGGCTCAAAAAAAGATGCAAGGGAAAGCATCTGCAAGGGACTATCAATAAGCTTTGACCTTGGATTTCTGACCATCTGCCAAAAACATCTGCCTATAAATCTTTGTGTTTGTGTGTGTGTGTGTGTGTGTGTGTGTGTGTGTGCTTTACTGTGTGTGTGTGTGTGGGTGGGTGGGTGGGTGTGTCTGTGTGCGTGTCTGCAAGCACATGAGCGTACATAAGTATGATTCATGTCTTTGCTGAAAACTAGGTTGTAAAGTTATTGCCCATGGAAGTAAAGGTAAAAGATAGCTAGAGTGGAGCAACCTTGAGATTTAATATCTAGTGTGCTCTTCAAGAGTGTTCACATACAGAAATAAAGCCACATACACACACACAAACATACACACACAAACGCACAAAAACTCTGCCTTTCTCAGTGGATTAATCATTTTTCTCAATACATGTCATTAAGGACGACTTCTAACACACAGTCACGTCTGGAGATTTCTATTGCATTATCGATTTCTCCTCTGCTTTCTACTCTTCCTTAACTCATTTGTCTCTTTATCCCTTTTCTCCTTAGCCATCTCTCTCTCATCAATCCCTCTTCTCCTGTATTTCGTCTGTCCTCTATTTTCTGGCATTGCCACTTCCCTAAACTGGTCCTGCAACATCTACATAGGAACATTTATATTTTTCTTGCAGAGCTCATAATTTTGACTGATCGTGCCCTGTTATGTTGATTGGTGATGTTGTGTTATGTTGATATAGATTATTTTGCAGACTAAATTGCTGCTTTGTTTCAGCCATGTTTCACATCCATATATGTTAAGTGCATAAAAAATGGCACATAAATAAAAAAAAATTGTACTTACACCTACACAGAACTGACACAAAACTGTGAGTGATACTAATGTAGACTAGTCAAGGGTTTTTTTTTCTCACATTCTCTCCCTCAAAGGTGTGGCCAGGAGAGGCTGTATTTCCAGATTACACCAGCCAAGCCTGCATAGATTGGTGGGTGGATGAGTATGAGCGATTCTACAGGGAGGTCAAACATGATGCACTGTGGATTGTAAGTCAGTTTTGAATACAGAAAACGGAGGTATGAAAAGTTGTGGCCTGACCGAAAATTGTCAAAATGGCCAAGGGCCAAGAAAGAGCATTAATAACAAGAATTTTGTTAGCTTAACAAACATGGAAAAAAATTACTTCATAACCGTCTTTAAACGAAACAAAAGTCATCTCACTGAAATTTACTGTATGTCCTTGCAGGACATGAATGAGGTCTCTAATTTCAAGCAAGGATCAGCAAAGGGCTGTGCTTCAAACAACCTCAACTACCCTCCATTCATTCCAAGTAAGAGATGTTGTTTTTTATCTTCTGAGCCATGATCATGCTAATCATTTGACGTACTTAGCTGTTCTTATAGCTGTAAATTGTGGCTTTTAGTAGAAAAAAAAAAGAAATCCAGAAAAAGCTGGGCAGTCATTTAAAATATAACTCAAGAAAATGCAAACGGAATATTATGCTACTAAAATACCAAAGAAGAGGCCCTGAACTATAGAAATTATATTTCAAGAAAGAGTAGAAAATAATTTACTATGGCAACTAAACTCTGCAGTTATAATTAATTATAATAATTTTTAATTAGTAATCTATTATTATTAGTATTATTATTAATTAAGTTAATTATTTATTTATTTTGTGGCTACCTAATTGAAAATGGGCACATGTCAGTAAAAGATGCAGGTTTTAATGATTTTAATTTTTTCCCCATTTTCTGCCTTTTCTGTGAAAACTAGTCATACTGGTATACATTTAATACAAAGAAACAAAGGATACCATAGAAATGCAGGTCATCAAATATTGTACACAATTTGATAAATTAGCTACACTAGCACACATAATAATAGAAAAGCCCTTTATTGTCATGGTACATGCACATTGTATCCTAGATGGTTTTCTAGAAAACTCATCTAGAATCGTAGATCCCTTAAGAAGAATTTTGAAAATGACTCTTCTGCCATGTCTTTTATTCTGACTGTGTCCCAGATAGGATGATCATAACTGGAAAAGGCACGCTCCCCTGATGCCATCCTTGTTATTGCCCTCCTCCTTAGTCATCTTCCTGCATTGCTCTCTTTTCTGTCATTTCCTCATTGCTCTGACATCCTATAGGAGTATACATCAATGTCTATCTCATTCTTTCTGTCCTTTTACTTCATCGCAACACCATCACTGTTTTTTCGTATTCTCTTCATGCCTCCTCACCCCTTGTTCCAGCTCTTCACTCCTTTATCTTTTCTCTCCCTCAGACATTCTCGACAACTTGATGTACAGTAAGACTCTGTGTATGGATGCCAAGCAGTCTTGGGGAAACCATTATGATGTCCACAGTCTGTACGGCTACTCTATGGTGCTGGCTAGTGAAAAGTGAGTACATCAATAATCAATGACAGGAAGAGTTCAGGTTGTGCTACGAAGGCCAACTTTCTGCCACCCATTCAGTATATTGAGACTCTGGGAAACTCAAAATACACTGTGAAAATAATGTAATATACATAATTTTCTAAATCAAGAGTTGTAGAATCAGATGTTACTGACCCATTGTGCTAAAGTCCAGAGCAGTTGACTTGACTTCAATGTGTTAAATCCGAAAACTTGTTTTAATGAGTCTAGCTTCCAGTGTGTTTGAATGAATTTCTCATTGGAGTCTGGCGCTGAAACAGTTTAATGGCCCATTATGTGCACAAACTTAGAAAGGAGTATTAAATATATTGTCGGTGCTGGCAATCTGTTGAGGAGGGATAAAAAGGTGCTTCACCATACGCAGGTTTATTATTAGTAATGTTTTATACTTGCTAACCAGTTAGCATTGGTTCATCTTATTTCCTTATCTGAATGCTATTGAAGGGCTCCAATTCCATTGTCTTGAACCACAGTAGTCCTTGTTCTCAGCAACCTTGCTGAATTTGGCATAGATGTGTATGCGCCATTTTTTGGCCTACTGCAATTTCTTATTACAGTGGCCTCTGAGCCCATTGCTGATCCTCCAGAGAGCAGAACAAGGCCTACCATCACTACCTGCAGTCCAACGCAATGCAGTGGGAGTTCTTCTTAGAGACAAGATACTCAGCAGACAGAAAAACACTGGGGAAAATAAAATAAAGTTTCCTAGCCAGCCAGCATTTAAAGAACCAAGAGACTAGGGATGGGTACCAGTTCTGACATAAACTGTAGTAACCAGACCAAAAAGCAGCGCACATTTCGGTTCAGTGCTTTTTTTCCCTGAGATGTCATACACTTTGGATTCCAGCCAATCATTTTACCTTTGCGAGCGTAGTAGGCGGGCCCAGGTACGTACGTTCTTTTAGAGCAGGGCTACAGATTAAAAATGCCCAAGGCGAAGCGGTCAAAGTCTGGCTGTACTTCACAGCAAAGGATGCAAACTCAACAGCCTGCAACAAGTGCTTTAAGGTGATACTGTGCAAAGGAGGTAACACCTCGAATCTGATGAAACACCTGGCGACATATAGTGTTTTTTTAAAAGCCGAGAACTGCACCGTATTTGATAGCTTGCTGCGAGACCTCACATTGAGCACATCTACTGCGGGTGTGGTGCCTGTTATTGGTCCCGGAGTTAGCAACATCCCCCAAAAACCTGAAGAGTAGAGTCCTGGCCCCTAGCCCTGCCAGTGTAGCAGAAATGATGAGGATGATGATGGCAGCAGCAGCAACGTTCTTCTCTGCGCGAGTAGCTTAATGTTGTTCATGTGTAATTTAAGTTGAGTACGCTAACCACATTATTACATTAATGCATGTAAGGTGAACTAGCAAACACCATCATAGTTACATGCGGCTGTCTTCTTGTTTGATGGCAGATACTCCCTTCACCCTGGCCAAAAAGGCTAAAATGACCAAAGAAAAAGTGGGAAACAGCTAAACATGAGAGGTTTTTGGACAAAGTTGGTGTTTTTCCCCCCCTATTGATCAAGCACTTCTTCCAGCCAAGAGTGATACCATAAATCCCCTATAGCTGCAGAAAAGGCTAACATTGTTATCTTTGTACAAAAAAACAGCTGAACATGAGAGGTTTTTGGACAAAGTTTGTGTTCTTCATTCTTTAATCACTGGTTCAGCGCAGTTTAAGCACCGGCACCGTTTCAAAAGTACCGGTTTGGTACTGGTATCGGATAAAAACCTAAATGATACCCATCCCTAGAAGAGACATGATTCAAAGTTACAGTTTGACAGGTTGGTTTAATACAATTTGTAGACCTAAGACAGCACTGTGGATCCAGAATAATGGTGAAGGAAACTGTTGCTGCTGATCTGTATCAGAAACCTAGATGTCAAATTTTCCTAACAATGCAGCCAGTAATATAAAGTAATATAAAACTGTAATATTCTTCTGCTAGTGTATCCTGACTCATCAGTGCATAAGCTTTAAGAGCTAATTTGAATGCCAATAAAAATCATTAACAAAAAAATCTGATAAAACCATTTGGCAGCCTTGCACGTGATGCATTTTCCTCAGTGTGGCAAATGTTTTATAACTTTTATTTAATGTTTAAACTCTGCTCATGTCAATTCTCCGAAGTTACATCACTACCCTCGTAACCACATTTACACTCAAAAGAAACAATCTGCCTATATATGGTAACACACACATACACAGACACAGCCCACTCAAGACCATGAAATACAAGCTCCCTGAAGTGAGCTTGCTGACTCACTGTTTTGGTATTAAAGCTAGCTCATCATTCTTTTGTCAGCTTTCCTACTCATTTATTTTCTTCTTTCTTAGTCTACTAATTAAAATGTATTACTGGCAGGAGACACATTTTGTAAATATCATCAGGGCTTTATATTGTCGTGGAGATTGATAATGCTTCGATTTTGTTTGAATAAAATATTAATGTGTAGTGGTAAATCAATTCTGGCTACACTTCCTTGCGTTATCTATCTTTCTCTCTGATCATTTGTGTTTGTGCATATGCATGTGATATCTGTTTCTCCCTTGTGCTCTCTCTGACTCTCTTTTTTGTCCCATTGTCCTTTTATCTTAATGACCCTGTATCATCTGCTTGTCTTCTTGTTGAATTCTCTGCCACAGAGCTCTGCAGCGTGTTTTTGGAGCAAACCGTACCCTGTTGCTGACCCGCTCCTCCTTTCCAGGTGTGGGAAAATATTCAGGTCACTGGCTGGGGGACAATGGTGCCAACTGGAATGACATAAAATGGGCTATCCCTGGCATGCTAGAGTTTGGCCTCTTTGGAATACCCTATGTGAGTAGCAAACATTCAGAGAAGGTCATGTAATGGTCATATCATTTTTAAAATAGCTAAAATCATTTGATAAGACAAATAAATATGACCATTCAAGTTTTTATTTTCACTTCAGCAAAGCATTGAAGAATGAAAACATATTGTGTATATGTATACATATACATATATATATATCATTTGTACTCTACAGAAAGCTCCAGAACCAGTCATAGAACTTAATCTGTTTGTTAGCATGTGTTTCTGGCATCTGGATGGTTCTCTCTTTTGAGAGAAGATTTAGTTGTCATTGGGATGTATGCTCTGACATAATTTCAAACAGCAGACAAGAAGAAGTGTGTCTTGAATAAGATCCATTAAAATGTCTGCACCAACAGCAGTTTTCTTTCCTGGAACAACACCACGTTCAGAAAACACACTCCTAGCCAGTAACCGAGTGGACCTTGTACTTGCTTGTGTGTATCGCTAGTGTGCAGGTTTCAAACAGCAGTAAGAAAACGACAGGGAGTCCAGTGCACATGCAAACACACACATGCACACGCCTCCAGCTGTGCACAGCAGGTAGTCATATATACATGCCAACTTCTCCTGCTGGGACTGTGTCAAGCAGATTTTGGGTTCCTCAGTAGACACACGCTCACACGAACACAGAGAGAAAGACGGAGAGAAAGCAGGAGAAATAGGATTTGGATCGATTCCCTCCCATTGAGGCTGTTGTAAAATGTGGCCGGTAGTAAACAATAGAAAGCAAACAGTCTCTGCAGACTGGCCTTTGACTGAAGTCTCTTTCTTGGACTCCATGAAAGCAATTAATGTAAATAAAGATTACAACCCACATCTACTGTTTGCCAGTAAATCCTCACTAAATGGAGCCAACATGAAGAGAGGCATTTTAGAAGATAAATATAACGGCAGTTATCACACTGGTGCTACAAGAGATTTGTTAACCTTACAGTTGGACCATTTTTTAACCAGGCCATAATGAAACATTAGTAATCTAGAGATCTTTTGTTTTCAAGTTCAAGTTTTCTCAGAGTTTGTCAAATGCTATTCCAGTTAGATTTTTCAGATATAATAATATTAGGATGTTGCTAGAATTGAACCTGTAGGTTCTGGCTAAATGTCATTGTAAATGTTTTTCAGATTGGAGCTGACATCTGTGGTTTCTTTGATGACTCCACTGAGGAGTTGTGTCGTCGCTGGATGCAGGTCGGGGCTTTCTACCCCTTCAGCCGGAACCACAACGCTGAGGGGTACAAGGTACTCCCAGATTTATTAGATTAGATTGTCAATCTATATATTACAACTTTGCTGTTTGGTGTAAAGTACTGCAGGGTATACACATCATTCCATAACATTGTATAGGTGCTATGAAATCCAAGCAGTTAAAAACTTTTTGTAGCCGTGGAGATTATCACCTCACTGGTGCAAGTACAGCTGAATCTGTGTTTAACACTGAGGATGCAAGCTGCTGAAAAACACTACATTTGAGTCTGAAATAAAATATTACTCACAATCTCAATGGTGCAATGAAATTTAAAGGAATTGATATTGATATACATAAAGTTATTGTAATATGGTGGATTCTCCACATCAGACTGCCTTTCTTAACTTTCTGACTGGACAATCGCTCTTCAAGTAGAGAGTCAGTATTCATTTTCAGTGATAATGATTTTCAACAGGTGGTAATATTAAAAGAGTAAAAATTATGTTTATATTTAACAAGCAGGCTAAAACGTTAAATGTCACAGGTCAGATCAGTGGCTTAATGTCACTGAGAAACACAGGGAAGGCACCTGCTGAGCCTAGAAGAGTGCTTATATTGCCACTGAGCTATTTATATAGATGAACACAAATGGCTTATGCGAAAAATCATTCTACACTATTGAATCGTGTGAAAACTGATGCTCCCACAACATTTTCCGTTTGGGGTGGGGGTTGGTGATAGTACTTGCTTGAAGACAGGGATACGATGATGATGAATCTGATGTACAATTTCCACTAAACAAGACAGCTAAAGTGTGACCTTTGCTTTGCCCTAATCATGGCGCTCATCACATCCCATACAGATAGTCCAAACACACACACAGACACAAATGAGTTTTCATCAGACTGTCAGAGTTGCTGGAGGCATAAATGATTAGCCAGATGAGAGGACCACAGCCTGTAAGCAGCTAATCACCCTCACACTTACCACACTTACCACTGTCATCAAATTAACATCATACCTCTATTTCTTTCTCTCACTTTTTCATTTATTTTTTTCTTTTGCTCTTTGTCTTTATAAACTGTACTTTTAGATTGCTCCAATGTAAAGGTAATTTTGTGGTTATTCATTATGAATAAGGTTAATGTGTATTTGCTCATGGTAATTTTCCACTTTCTCATCCCTCCTCTTTACTGCTTTATCGTCACTCACTTCCTCTAATTTCAGTGATTTTCTTTCCTTCTCTTGCTCAAACATATTCACTCCTTTGCCATCTTATCTCGTTCCCATTGTTTTTCAGTAACTAATGGACAAATATGTGTTTTATTTTCTCTATTATTTCTTGTTCATTAACCCCATCCCTTTTCTCCATCTTTCTATCTCCAGCCTCAGGATCCAGCTGTATATGGTGCTGACTCAGCACTGGTCCGGAGTTCCAAACATTACCTGAACATACGTTATACACTTCTGCCTTACCTCTACACGCTATTCTACAAAGCCCACACTGCAGGAGAGACTGTTGTACGTCCTGTTCTGCATGAGTAAGTCCCATCTACTATTGAGTTAAGTCATTATGCTACCAATTCAAACAGAGACACAAACAAACTGCAGTTGCTTCAACTCACTTGTGGACATACCTCACAAATTCCTATTCCTAACCACCAAAACCTTAAATCTTCCAAAAGTATTTCTCATGTACTTCATACTGTGTATTGCTGGAGACCTCAGTAAGTGCAGTGCTAAATCGGGGTGTCCTGAGGAGTGGTTGTCTTTTCATCTCAGCTAGGTCACTTTGGCATCATCTGACAGATCACAGATGATGTTACACTGCTGTGACCTCCTAATGACCAGATCACACAACATAGTTGATAAATCAACCTCCAACGATGATGACATCTATAATTGTTGATGTCCCTGTGATCCCTGTGACAGTGGGCACTGTGCTAGTTGCATACAAGCAAAGTAATTTATTCAACAATAGGGCATTTGTCTTGGTCACTACCATCATTCTGATGCCACAGAGGAGTGTGACATTATCATCTGCAAGGTTGATGTCACAGTACCTCTGAAGGTGTTATCTAGGAGCAAAGAGAAGACTAGCATCATGTTGTTTGGATAACTCCCTGGTCATCCAAACAACCTGATGCTACTATACCGTAACTCTGTCCACAAATACAAATACTTGATTTCCTTTTTTTCCTAAAGAAAGAAAATGAGCAATTTTACATAGTGAAAAGCTCTGTTCCAAGTGCCTGAAAGCTGGTAGCTGAAACCTGGTAACCCTGGCCTATAAACTAAAAAGTGATGTCACTGGCAATGAATGAAAGGACAACATGCCAACAGAAACTAAGACCTTGGCAAGACAGCAATTCCAAATCGAGTGAATACACTCCTGTTTGAGTGGTTTTATTTTTAAAAGCACAAGAAAAATTAAATGTTTTGGCAATCAGACAACTAGCAAACCACATGATAAACAGATAGTGAGAAGCACAAGGACCGTGTTGCAGTACAACTGTTTATCCCTTTCACCATTCAAAAAGACACCAAGGGCATTAACAAAACATAATGGTATCCAAGTGACAAGTTGCAAAGTATATGCACGACTCTACGAGCTACTTGTAGAGTTCAACAGCAAGAAACCGACTGGAGATTAGCAGCCACACAGCTTAAATGAGCCAGCCAGGGTAAAACATGGAAAATGTGATCTAGTAAGACATGAACTAATAAATTAGAAAACTCAAAGGGTGAACATTAATTTAATGTTAATATAAAGTTTAGAATTGTAACAAAGCATAGACATCCTAAAACTTTTCTAAAAAAAAAATACTGGAAAATAAAATGTACAGACTGTAGTTTAATTACATTTTGGCTGGACACAGCATAATGACGATGCCTAATTTAATATATATTCTTCCTTGCCCAAGGTTCTATTCTGACAGTGAAACCTGGACAGTAGATCGCCAGTTCCTCTGGGGAAAATACCTGCTCATCACACCTGTATTGGATCCAGTAAGTTAAAACACAGAGAGAGAGACATATCAGAAACAGAATAGATATACATATGAAGATACTTTGGTCAAAATGACATCATACACATTACTTAAAGAAATGTACATAGAAAATGGAGAAACATGTCTTGCAGCTGAACAGCTACTCACTCACACAGTCACACACACGCACACAGCGTGACCTCCACTGGGAAAACATGACATGGGATTTTCTTTGTTGCCCTCCCCTACTCTCATCCCTCTTTCTTCTCTCTTCCATATCCTCCCTCTTTTCTCTGAGCTCTAATGAGAGCACTGACCTCATTACGAGCAGATTAGAAGTGTAGATAGAGTGTGTACTCTTGTGTTTGTTTCAGTGTGTGTGTGTGTCTGTGCGCTTGGGTTTTGGTGTGTGTGTGTGTGTGTGCATGCGTGCAGCTGCCTGCATATGTAAATGTGTGTGCCTGTAGGCACATATGTATGTGTGCATATGCAGTGATTGCGGTCATGTCAAAGTGGCCTGAATAATAAGCAATTTAGTGCGGCCTCTCGTGAATTACAGAATAGTGGAAAGCGAATTGGATTCATTGTCGGGCTGAGGATGAAGTAACTTCAATCAGTGTAATTGTGAAAAAGTTTCTAATACAAGAAGTGTGTGTGTGTGTGTGTGTGGGGGGGGG